AGAGGAGGAGATGAGGGCTTCATGGGTCAGAGCTGTCTCACACAGACACGGGAGTGACAGAGCTGGGGCTGGTGGTGGCTGAGGTCTTGCCTGGGGCCTGGAAGGCACAGGAACCTGCTGGCATCTCAGGAAGGCGAGGCCCCAGCCACCAGAGGGGCCCTAAGCAAGGCTCGATGGGCAGAGCTGTTCCTGGGGAAGCAGAGAGGCTGGGCCTTCCCCAGAGGGACTCTGGCCCAGGGGTGCCATCCTCTGCCCTTCTAGGAGACGCATGGGGTTGAAGCTGAGAGCTGGCTCTGCTCTGGACCACACTCTCAGCACCGACTTCCTCCACCTCTCGGGGTGTTTGGTGGGGCCCAGGGGGTGATAGGAGGCTTCAGGGTGCCCAGATGCCCCGGCTGGTCATACTTGGTGTTGGCAGCTTGGAGAGTGTCCTGGGGCTGCTGCACAAATGACCAGGAATTGGCCACTTGAAACTGCAGGAAACCGTTCACTCATGGCTCTGGGGGCCAGAACGCCAAACCCAAGGTGTGGGCAGGGCCACTTGTCTCTGAAGTCCCCAGGAGGCTCTGTGCGGCCCCTTCCAGCCCTCTGGGCTCCGGGCTGCCCTGCATGGCTCCAGCCCTGCCCCCTATGTGCAAGCTCCCTCTCCTCAGACGGCACCAGTCAGGCTGTATCAAGCCCACCGAACCCAGGACTGCCTCATCTTACCTGGATTCCATCTGCAAACACCTGCCTTCCAAATGGGCTCACGTTCATAGGCTTCCAGCAGACACAGTGTTTGCTACCGTATCCTTTAACTCCCAGTACCCCCAAAGCTTGGTCTCTGCTTGACTTGCCCTCCCCGCAGGAGGGGTGCCTGACATGTCCCCCTACCCCACCCCTGGCTCGCCCTCAAGCTGGGCTGGCACCCCCTGAGGTTCTGGGGACACTGGGGGGGGGCAGGGGTAGGCTCATCCTCCTGGGAAGGCAGATAGCACCTCAGCCTGCAGCTCCCACTTGTGGTGCAGAAAAATCCAGTAGCACCCACCAGGCAGAGAAGCTGCTGACGACGGTGGTGAAGGCCTCTCTGCTCAGGGGACACTGGAACAAAGCCCAAGTTCACTCACAAGTGAACTGGTGAGGGCAGAAGCCTGAGTGGCGGAGCTCAGCACAGAGGAAGGGCCAGTGTGGCCGGGCAGCAGGGCATGGGGGACCCCGTGGTAGAGGCAAATTTCTAAAGGACCGCGGCAGGGGGGGCGTCCAAGAGAGAGGCAGTAGCTGGGAAGGAGGCTTGGAGACAGGGCTCTGGGGTGGGGGGTTGGACGCTGTGCTAGCCCGGGACCTGAGCCCGCCAAGCGCAGTGGGCCTGGGCCATGGATGCCTGGCCCCTGTGGGGAGGAGGTGCCTTGAGGAGGCTGCAGAAGCCCTTGGCCCCGAGTGGTGAGTGGGCCCCATACACCCACTCTCCTGCCCGATGGGTCCTACCATGTTTCCCAGGCAACTGTTCCAATCTGGCCTGTCTGCCTGGCGCTCTGCACACCCACGAACGCCGCTGCCTGTCTACAAGCAGGCCTGCCTGCCTGGCACACACCGGCTGGCAGGTGCGGCCTAACATAGCCTCCAGCCTGGCTCCGTCAGAAGGCCAGGCTCTGGGGGGGAGGCAGCCCCGTATTCAAGGCCGTCCTCACCTGGGGAGTGGGCACTGCCAAGGCACCCTGAGTGGGTGCCATGCTGTCCTGCCACACGGGAAGCGAGGTAGCAGCCCTTGCTGTGAGCACATGCGCTGCCTGCTACTAGCGTCACCCAGAAGTTGGAAGAACACTCTGCTTTCTAGGGCTTTCTGGATCATTCCTGCCAGCTTCCATCCCTGTTCTGCCCATCCATGCCATCTTGACCTCATCTGCACAATAGCCTGACAGCAGGACTAGTCCCCCCAAATCCAAGAACGGTGCAGAGATGCTAAGCAGGGCTTGGAGCACTCGGGCTGGTTCCAGGCAGGGATCTGGCTAGCAGCAGGTAGCCCCTGGCTCAAGCCCTGCCTGGTAAGGAGCCCCGTTGGGCTTCTGGGGACAGCAGCACTGGACAGACGCAAGTAAGTCTTGCTCTCCCAGTGGGAGGGAGGAACCCATGGCCATCTTGGCTCTGAGAACAGCAGGAGCTGAGACATTTGCTCCTTGGTAGTGGAAGGGCTGGGGATGGAGAGGCCCCTGCCTGGCTGGCCACATGTGTTCAATGCTGGGACAGGCACCTTGGAGGGAGGGGCTCTGGTTCATCAGCCACAGTGTCCTCATTGCCCTGTGGAGGAAGCCGGGGAGAGCAGGGAGCAGACTGCAGGCCAGGGCTCCCACACACCGGCCCCTTGAGCCCTTGCCACTTCTCCCTAGGGGCGCCTCTTAGAAATCACTGAAATAGTCTTTGTAAACATGAATTTTGGCTCATAGAAAATCCCTTTCTGCAGTGCCAGCATCAGTCCTAATCAGAGATTATTTTCCAGGGCAGCCCCAGTCACTGTCACCAGCAACAGATGGCTTAAAAACGAGAGCCTTTCAATCAAGTTCAACTGTTCAACCTCCAGTCCTACCACCACCACTGCGTCTTGCTAGTGATGCCCAGGCAGCTGCGCCAAGGTGGGTCTGTTGGGTGCTCTGAGCTTCCACTCAGCCTCCGGAAGGTGCTTGCGCCAGCAGGGGCAGGGGTGGCAGGGACGGGACAGGGCTTCCTGAGGGGCACCAGCACCTGCCGCCTGCCTGGCTGGTCACCCCTGCTCTGTTCTCCGAGGAAGTGTTGCAGGCTGTAGGTGCCAGCAGCAATGGGGGACTTAATCCCCAGCAGCTGGATGAAACCAGAGAGGAGAAGCCCCCAGGAGGACCACGTGTGCATGTTGCTCTGGCTCTGTGCCCCCAGGAGGGCCGGGCTCCGAGGGTCTCTATTCTGCCCGGCGGTGCTGGCCTGGCCCCCAGCCAGAGGTCCCGGACTTCTCCCTCGGCAGCCAAGGGCAAACTAGGCCCCCTGGGCTGGCTCAGGCCAAGGAGAGTGGGTGTTGCCCACCTCGTGTGCCTTGGGCCGCAGCCAGGCTCAGCCAGGCCGTGACAGTTTCCCTGAGCCAGCCTTACTCGGGGCACCTGCCCTCAGGCCAGGGCCGTAGCCAGGGTCTGTCTGAGACCCGTCCCTGCCAATGCCCTGCTCTGCCCTTCTTGGTCAGGGGACTGGGCCATGTGAGCTCTGTAGAGACTGTAGAGAAAGGGACTGGAAGGGGCAGGAGTGGTTGGGATGTTGAAGACCCTGGTGTACGGTTCCCAAGGTCCCGTCTAGGGGCAGCAGCTGCTCATACAGAAGTCCCAGCATGGCCAGAGAACTGAGTGTATACTGACTTTCTGAGACCTGGCTGTGCCCCCTGTGCCTCGGGGAAGCTTGGCTGTATCCCCCTGTGCCTCGGGGAGGCCTGGCTGTGCCCCCCTGTACCTTGGGGAGGCCTGGCACCATTCCTACCAAGGCTCCCCGTGGCCAGTTGGTGGAAGTGTGGTGGTACTCCCAGCAAGGGCTTTGGATCTGCAGAAGCTGCAGCCAGGCCCCACGGGACTGTGCATGGGACCCCCCAGCACCAGGTGTGTGGTAGTCCCGGGGCTGCTGGACACCTTCATGGAGCCATGCCTGGGAGCCCTCATGTCTGGCCTTCCCTCACCTGGGAGCAGGTCCAGCTGCAGCCTCCTTCAGGGACCCCCGGGACCACTGAGCTTGGTGACTCTGCTTGTTTGTGCACGTGGGGTCTGTTTCCTATTGGTTGGCAGGTTCTGAGGGCAAGGACCCTGCCTTGTTTCCTTGGAGGTCTCCAGGATCTAGAACAATCCCTGACAAAGCTGCTGGGGTTGGGGAGAGCCAAGGAGTCCCAGCACCCCCCGTGACTTCTGCTTGTCTGTTGAAGGGAGTTCCTGCCACCCAGCCCCCTGCATACTTCAGCCCCCGTGAGGGTGGGGGTCACCCAGGGGCTCCTGAGGCCCACAGGGCTTGGAACTCTATGGGAGCAGGAGCCACCGAGAGTGCCTGGGCATCTGCTGCCACCAAGTGGTTGATTGAGTGGTCGCTGGGCAGGAGCTCTGGGCCCTGAGTCTTGGGGAGAGCCCCATGAGGGAGGATCCCCCCACGCTGCCCCTGGCCCAGCACCCCTGGTCTTGGCTGGCTACTTGCACTTTGTTGCCTCTTGTTTTTTTCTTAACTCCGAAAACCAAGTTCCTCCCTTTAGGAGGAAAACACAACCGCCCCAAGGAGGACAGGCTGTATCCTCTTCCGCAGAGCTGGAAACAGGCTCAGAGCTGTCCCCTGGCAGGAGGTGGGGAGCAGGGCAGGCCTGGCCACTGGGCAGGGGGCAACTGGGGAAGGGGTCCCTGGCCTGACCGCGGGTCCAGTCCCCCCTCCCAAGCCTCTGCAGGCCACAAGCCTGCGGGTGGGGGACCGCGTGAAATGGGCCCCCCATCCCGGCCTCCATGTCTTCCTCAGTGGGCAGTCAGCTCCCCTGGGCTCCTCTGGCAGAAGAAGGGACCGTGACCTGTCTCTCCCAGTGTCGAGGTCGGAACACCTTCCTCTCCGACAGTGTCCCGGGGTTTTGGGGGGGCCGCCTCAGGACCGCAGAGCAGGCTGTGGGGTCGGGATGGGGGCCAGGGGTGGGGGACCAGGTCCACAGCGCGCTTCAGGCAGGAGGAGGTCGGCGAGGGTGTCTGGGTCCCCGGCAGACGGCGAGGGGCGGGGCCTTGCCGGGGGCGGGGCCCCTCGAGGGGCGGGGCCTGGTCGGGGGCGGGGTCTCTGTCGGAGCTGGCTCCGTGCGGGGGATGGGGTCAGGGCCGGAGGCGGGGCCTTGTCGGGGGCGGGGTCCCTCGAGGGGCGGGGCCTGGTCGGGGGGCGGGGTCCCTCGAGGGGCGGGGCCTGTCGGGGGCGGGGTCTCTGTCGGAGCTGGCTCCGTGCGGGGGATGGGGTCAGGGCCGGAGGCGGGGCCTGGTCGGGGGCGGGGTCTCCGGCGGGCCGCTCACTTCCGGCGGACGCTGGGCTGGGGGCGGATGGAGGCGGCGCGGAGGCCGCGGCCGAGTTTGCGCCGGCGGAGGCCGTCCCCCGGGGGCGGGTGAGGTCGGGGGCCGGGGGCTAGGGTGGGGTGGGGGGGAGGAAGGGGGCCCGCGTCCCCCGGCCGCTCCGGCGCGGTGGCCGCGCGCCCACGTGCTTCCCGGAGCCGCCGCGCCCGGCCGCCCCCTCGGAGCCGCGCCCTCCCCGCCCTCCCCGCCCTCCCCGCCCTCCCCGCCGGGCGCCTCCTGCTGAGTTCTCCCCGCACCCTCAGCGGCCGCGGGGGGCCCGTCCCGGGGGTCGGCGAGTGCGCGCGGCCGTGGGCCGACCTGCTGCGCGCGGGGATAGCTGATCTGAGCCCCGACGGAGAGCTGCCGCCGCTGCCCGCCTTCCCCGGCCCGGTGCGTGCGGGGCGCCCGGGGGATGCCGGGGTGCGAGCGGGATGGGGGTCCTGGACGGGGGGGCGCCAGGGCGCGGCGGACGCGGCCCGACGGACGACGCGGTTTGGCAGGATCCCGGCCGCCGTCCCAAGCGCACCGCGTCCCCCGAGGAGTTCACCGTGGGAGCCCGGACCTTTTCCTGGACGCCCTTCCCGCCGGCCCCGAGAGGAGGCGGGGGCTTGGGCCCTTCCCACCGAGTGCCCCTTCGGGCCCGGTCCCCGCAGCGATGCCCCTCGCCGGAGCCCCGAGGGACGCCCGCTGCCCCGGAGCAGCTGTGGGAGGCCTCGCCCAGCCTGCGGAGTTGCCCCATGTGCCAGGTCGACTTCGCCCCCAGGTGAGTGCGCCGGGCTGGCGCCTCTGTCCCCCTCTCTGACCCCAGCCCTGCTTGGCACGCACAGCCGTGAGTGTTTAGAGGGCCAGGAAGTGCCCGAGCTCGGTTTGGCCACCTCAGGTCAGTGCATGTTGAGTTGCTGAAGTCCAGGTAGCTAGAGGCCGCTGGTCGGGGTTGGGGACGCTGGGGGTCCCCTGCTCACTCATCCCTTGGAGCCCTGCACACAGGCCGCAGTCTCCCTGGGACAGACTGTGCAGCCGGAAAGCAGGGCACCTCTCCCCACACCTGACAGCCCACCCTAACACAGGGAACCTGGTGGGGACCGCATACCCTGGCTGAGGCCACCCCGGGGCCAGGCGAGTCTGTGGGTCACCAAGCAGTCCCACCAGTACCTACATAGGAGTAGGTTTTAAAAACGAAGGCTGTTGGGACGCCTGGGTGGCTCAGCGGTTGGGTGCCTGCCTTTGGCTCAGTTCCTGATCTCAGGATCTGGGATCGAGTCCCGCATCGGGCTCCCTGTGAGGAGCCTGTTTCTCCCTCTGCCTGTGTTTCTGCATCTCTCTCTCTCTCTCTGTGTTTGTGCCCTCGTGAATAAATAAATCTTAAAAAAAAAATATGAAGGTTGTTTGTGCTGAGAGATGCTGTTTTGCTTTAAAAGCTCAATGTATGTTTTTATTTTTTTTAAAGATTATGTTAGGAAGAGAGAGAAGGAGCATGCATGAGTGAGGGGGGTGTGGTGGAGGGGCAGAGGGAGAGAGAGACAAGGAGTCTCCTTGTTGAGGATGCAGGGCTCAATCTCAGGATCCCCAAATCACGATCTGAGCCAAAAGTTGGATGCTTAACCGATGGAGCTCCCCTGGCACCTCTCTTTATATCTTTTTTTGAGTAAGGGGACTGGAATCTAGGTTTGCTAAGATGTTAAGCTCTGACTGCCCAGCTTGTGGGCCACGTGTCACACAGCTGAGGACACAGGTGCTATGGTTTTAGGGGTCAAGACTGTCAAAAGGAACTTGGTCAGATGAAGTGAAAGAACAGTAGGTTTCAGTAAGTGGACCAGCTCCAGATTTCGTGTGGCTGGCAGATGGTGTGCAAGTCACAGGCCACATCCCTGGTCCCCCAGAAGCAAACACCATCCTGGACAGTGAGGGCGATGGAACTGACAGCAAAACAAACACCATCAAGCCACTGGTTCAGATAAACAGCCTGCACACCAAGATTTTTAGATGCTACTTTTTATTCAGAGATGTGATGTTTCTATTAGTGGTCAACTCTTTGGGCTCCTCTAGTCTGCATTTTTGTATCAGAACAAGCCTTTGAGAGCTGGTATTGTGGTGAGCCCAGTACCCTCATGCTTATCTCCTTAAGGTGCCTGCACAGCCCAGGGCTGGTGAGACGAGAGTGGCTGGTTTGGGCAAGGTGGTGGGTGTTCTGAAGCCCCAGCAGGTGGAGCCACAAGCAGGGCCTGGAGGGGGTCGCCTGGTGATCCACCGAAGATGCCCTGGCTCTCCTACAAGCACCAGGGAACTTGCAAAATGTTTCCAGAGCCAGCATCTCCCAGCACTGCCTTTTGCCTGTACTCAAGTTTTGGGACACTTGTGAGTTGCAAATACTGACTGGCTTGCCAATTCTGCTAATGCAGCAAACACTTTTTAAAAATAGCGGTTGGTCTTGATTCATCCCTGGTCTGAGAAACCAGGGGCAGAGGACATTGCTGGAAGCCCCAGAGAGAAATTCTTTTCTTGGTAGAAGCTGTTAAGATATCTAATGCTGTCTGGGTGCCCCACCTTTTCTCCTGTTCCAGAAGGGGCTTTCTGTTCTTGGAATGCTGGCATTTCTACACGGTCTAAAAAAAGACTCCTAATGACAGAGATGTTAGGGAGAAAAAAGTTCCAGCTTTGAGTTTTTTAAGCAGTTAAATTAAGGCTTGGCAGAGCGCCTCATTTTTTCCAAAGTGGGTGTCAGTACAGTGGGGTCCAGGCCTCCGCGGGCTTGTCTGAAATGCTTGTAGCACATTCTTCCGCTTGACTACAAAGGGGAGAGCTCTGGGGCAGAACATACCCCTCAGGTGTTAACAGTGAGTGCGGAGACCACAGGTCACTGAAAACAAAGGCCCACACTCTCCCGGGATGCTCAGGACCCTGGGGCAAGGAGACAGCTTGGGCTGCGGTGGGGGGAGGGGGGGTCCAGTTCAGCAGGTGCACAGTAAGCTGCCAAGTTGTCTTGTGACTCTCCATAGAACAGTATCAGCTCTTAGGGATTCTTGGGGAAAGTTTTTGTTATGTATAATCTGTTTTACTTAAAAAAAATATTTTTAAGCAAACTCTACACTTAATATGGGGCTTGAACTCACAGCCCCCGAGGTCAAGAGTCACGTGCTTTACTGACTGAGCCAGCGAGTTGCCCCACTTGGGAAATTTCTTAACCAGAGATTGAAGCCTTGTGCACTGCTCTTCTGATAGCAGGGGAGGTGGTGTTGGACCTCGGGGGCAACTTCTAACCCGAGTGATGCTTGTGGAGGGTGTGCTTTGGGGGCACAGTGCTGTGGGATGAGTTCATGATTCTTCTCAAAGCCATAGCCGGCTCAAGTGACTCAGAGAACAGTTTTATTCTTTAACGTGATGGATGATTGCATGGCGAATTTGACTGATGGGGTGTGAGACCCTGTGCCCCTAAGATCTGCGCACTGCTGTGCTCAGGTGTCCTGTATGATCTCTGATCCTGCAAGTCACAAGGGCACCTGGGGAGATGGGTTACCATGGGCCACTGGCCACAAAGATGTGGAACCCAGAAGTTGGGTTGTGTCCCACATATACAATGAGAACCTCGGTTGGTGTTTTACCAGCTCTGAGGCCCCTCATGCTGCTGGACACTGAGCCCCCCTGGACGCAGGAGTCAGTAGAGAGTCTTGGACGGAGTTTCCTCTTCTGCAGCTGCACGCATCGTCCACAAACTGGGCCTCAGTGAGACAGTGAGGTTGGCCTGTCTTGGGGCAGCTGCTGCAAAAGCTTGGCGTGCAGGATGAGGCTGGCGAAGACCAAGCTCTCTTAATGAGGAGGAGGTCTCAAGGGTCCCAAAGGGTGCCCCCCACCCGAGGGATACCTCCTGGAAACCCCAGACAAGGTGACCTGGTCCAGATCTTAGAATCTTCTGGCAGCCTTAGAGCATGCGGGGGCCCCAGGGACTTGAGAGCACACTGAGCAGCCCTACAAAGTCTGAGAGGGCAGCTGATGGCCACCAGAATGGGCACAGGCGCCCAGAGCAACAGGGTGAGGTGGTGCTGTGGCCCTCAGCATCTTGCTGTGATGCTCCAGGGAAGGGCCTTTCCACTCTGGCCAGTGAACTTGGCCAGCTGACCAGGATGGCTCTAGGTATGGGCGGAGGAAAGGTCGCATCTTGGGGGGGTCTCCCAAGTAGAGAGAAGCCATCTGGGCAGACTACTGCAGAAGCCATGGTGTAGAGGCGTATCCAGAGGGCCAGGCGGGACTCCTGGTGATGGATGAAGTGTCCACGCTGCCAGCTGCTAGTAGAGACCCAGGGTGTACCAGCAGGATGTGTGTGTTCCAGTCTGGGAGGTGCTGGTGGGGTCCCGGCCACCATGACCCGTGCTGAGGCTTCGGGGGTCATCACACGTGCTGCTGAGCCAAGGGAGACACGGGGTGACTGGGCCTGCCTGGAGCATAAGAAGAACTGCAGGAGCTGTGGGCAGGTCGGCAGACAGGATAACCCCAGGCTGCAGGGGGCACAGAGAGTGCTACTGTTCGCAGCTGGTGGGCCCAGCCCCCCCCCAGGGTGTGTCCCGCCGCAGGCCTGCTGCTGTCTGGGGGCACAGCTGGAAGCTGACTGTCCCTGGCTCCAGTGCGTGGGGGGTGGTCCTGCCTGGCCCCCCTGCCCAGATGGGGTCAGATGAGGTCGGGAGTAGAAGGTGTCTGCTCCATGACACAAATCCAGGCCCCTCCCCACATGCCCACGGGATGCTGAGAGGCCATCCCGCAGGCTGTGGAGCCCCCAGCGCTGTAGGCTGGCAGGAAGTTTGCTGCCCTCCCCCCCCAGGGGGCTTAGTCCTCCACAGTGAGCAGACAGATCCGAGCGACACAGCCACCTTCACCTGCTTCTGTTTTCCCACCTCTTGTAGAGGACAGTGATCGTGCTCCTGGGGCCCAGCCGTGTGCTTTTTGTTTTGGGGGTGCCACGTGGGGCAGCTTTCATAAGAGGAAGTGATGCTCTGGGTGTTTGTTGATACAGAACCCCCTGCAGGAGCCCCTGGCACGGGCAGGCAGGGACCCTCTGATGCTGTCCTGAGTCTCTGCCAAGCCCCTTCATCTGCGGGTGGCCTTTCAGGCCCCAGGACAAGCAGTCCACCCAGATCCGTGAGGTCCTTAAGCTGAGTGGATTCCAGAATCCCCTGGAGGCTCAATGAGACACAGGAGGAGGCTGGGCGAGCCCAGGGTGTATGTCTGACAGGTGTCCTGATGCCGCACATCCAGCTGCACTGAGCACGTGGCCCAGACAAATATCCCCGAGGCACGGGATTTGCAGAGGCCTTTTCCGGTTGGCGTGGCCCTCTTGGACCTTTCCCTCATTTCTGACCAGCTATGGAGATGATCACGGGTTTCTCTGGCTGACTTGGGTGTTGTTAGTACAGGGAGGGGTGTGAAAGTGTGTGGTGGGTGTGGTGGCAGGTGGTGTGTGGTCGGCGTGTCCCCTTACATGACTGACCATCCCCTCCCTCTTGCAGGCTGGCCCAGCTAGACATCGACAGCCACCTTGCCCAGTGCTTGGCAGAAAGTACGGAAGACATGGTGTGGTGAGCAGACAGCCGGCGCAGAGGCTTGGCCCCACCTGCCAGAGCCACGTCCTCTGCTTTGAAAGCTGCTTATTAAAATGTCTGTGTAGACTACTGGTGTCACATGTCTGTCTGTGTCGGGACCAAAACACAGGATCCTTTTCCTTTTTGGCTTAGCTAAGCAGAGTGCTCTGCTGCAGTCAGAATCTGGCAGCTGCTTGGCAGACAGACCCAAGCCCGGGCAGGTGAGCTGAGACGGTCTCGAGCAAGACTGGCCACATCTACGGACAAGTGGACAGGTGGGCAGAGTGCACTTTCCTGCCTCTGCAGACTCCACTTGCTCCGCGTTTCAATTCTCCCGGTGAACCTGCTGGCCACATGGTTCAGGCCCCCCGCCCCGCCAGACGCTGCCACTGCAAAGTGCCCTAGTACCTCACGGACGGGCGAGGGTCGCAGCGCAGCGTCTCCTCCAGCCGGGACTGACTGGGAGGGAATGGGCCAGGCGCCATCTGCAGTGGGCAGGCCCATCTGCCAGAACATTCTGCATCAGCCGTGTGTTTGGGCTTCCAGGGCAAGTGGAAAGTGGGGCACAAGAGTGTCTATAGCTAGTTTTCCTTCCAGTGCTGACGGCCCTTGGATTCTGGAAGAGCTGGGCTTTGGCAGTGTCCCCATCTCCACCCCAGCCACCTTGGCCGCGAGCACTGGCACAGGGAGCAGGTCACAAAGCCACGAAAGGACCATGGGGGAACCTAACTGCATGTGACCAAGTGAGAGATGTGGTCTGAAGAGACTCCTGCCATAGGGGCTTCTGGAAGAGGCAGAACTATAGAGACGGGGAGAGGGCAGTGGTCACTGGAGGATGGGGCACGGGGCCTTTGGGAAGGTGAAGCTACTCTGCATGATCTACAGGGTGAATATATGTCATTTTGTCCAAACCCACGCACTGCAGCCACCAAGATGTGAGGCTCGTGCCCTGGGGATGCTGTGTCCATGGGGTTCATCCATGGTCACACATGGCTTTGGGAGGGGAGGCTGGCGGTGAGGGTAGTGGTACATGGGGGTAGGGGCACATGGGAAATCTCTGCAGTGGCCCCACAATTTTGGTGGGAACCTAAGACTGCTCTAAATAAAACCGTTTTTAAAAACGCTTTCCAAAACTGCTGCTTCCCGAAAACACCTACTTTTATTAGAAATAAGTCGTTAGGGACACCTGGGTGGCTCAGCGGTTAAGCATCTGACTTTGGCTTAGGAGTGTGATCCCAGGTCCTGCTGCTGGGATCTGCACTCTGCCTACTGCTCAAGCCACACCTAGTGGGTTAGAGAATCAGGAAAACCTGTGGTTGGGCATTGATGCAAGGAGGGTAATGGAGTGACGTGTGTCCCCTGTGCTGCTTGCGGGAAGTGTGCAGTCAGGAACATGCATGCAGGGTGTCTGTGGTATTCTAGATTGATTATTAAGGCTGGGACACTCATACACAGATCTTTGTAAATTTTCTAATTCTGAGCATCATTATTACCAATAAAAATATTTTTTCGAAGATTTAATACATAACACAAGAGGTCACATAGGCTGCCCCACTTAGTGTTTTCAGAGATATTTTGTGCAGATTTTGTCTTCCAATTTCTTACTTTATTTGGTCTCCAGGTGCTTCAGTGAGCAGCATTAGAATCCAGGATTGGGTCTCCTCATGGTCGGTGACACTGTGGGGGCTGCGGATGCACTGGTGTGACATACATGCTAACTACAAACATGGGAACTTACTGGGATTGAGAAAATGTCCCAAATTTGTCAATTCTCCACCGCACTGCCTCTCTGTGGGCACTCCGACTCCCGTTCCCAGCCTCGACTCAGCGCACAACCCCGCCCACTCGGGCTCCTCCCATGTGGCTGTCGCCTGCAACGCTGGGTGGGTGCCGGATGCGGAAAAAAGGCACCAGAACGGCTTCGACATCATGGGCACATTTTATTCCTCAGGACATTACAGGCTAACTCTCCTGGTGGAGCAGGTCAGTTCTGTTTCTGTGGAAAGTGTGCACCTTCGAAATCGTGGGGCAGTTTCTCCCTTGGACACGGTCACCGCGGGTTGTCCGCGGCGCAGGCACAAGAAGCAAATTCCTCCAGCACAAAGCTGGCCGCGCGGGCCCAGACGCAAGACTGTTCCGCTATGAGAAGCGCCCGCTTGGCGCCCCCGTCCGCGGGGTCGGCGGCAAGTATCCCTCCCTGGCCGCACTTGGAGCCTTGCGCCCAGCCTGGCATGCATGCGCTGTGGTTAAGGATAGAGTGAAGGGGTCATTCACAGACGTGTCCATGACACAGAAGACGGCCTCACACGGACTCCTCGGTGGACAGCAGTAACGGGTTGATGTACTCAAAACCTTCAAACTCGGACTGGTCGATCCTTTTTATGACGTCCCTGTGCACAGGCAGAGCATGGGGAGTGGGGTCAGACCCTGGACGGGCAGACCCTGGATAGGGCACACGGCAGACGGGGTGTCCCAACCCCCGGCCCGCCCCCGGCAGGCCTTACTCGTCATCTGGGGTCAGCTGCACGGGCTCGCTGGTGAACTGGGTGTCGAAGTTGTCCAGACCGTACTCGTCGGTTATTTGGGGCTGGAATGGCGGGAGGGCCTGCTTCTTCTCCAACTGGGAAGAAAAGGCAAGAAGTCAGGTGGTGCTGGCTGTCCTCTCCACGGGATCTGGGTTTTTGCAGGAACTTAAGTCACAGAATGGAATAAGAACACACTCGGTGTTTACCTACATCCTGTATTTGGAGACAGTTTTCTTTTCCCTTAAACACAAAGTTTAGGAAAATGTATCTGAAGCCAGTAAAACCCTGAGTTTAGGGGATCCCTGGTTGGCTCAGCGGTTTAGCGCCTGCCTTTGGCTCAGGGTGTGATCCCAGACTCCCGGGATCGAGTCCTGAGTCAGGCTCCCTGCATGGAGCCTGTTTCTCCCTCTGCCTGTGTCTCTGCCTCCCCACCCCCCCGTGTGTCTATCATGAATAAATACATAAATCTTAAAACAACAACAACAACAACCCTGAGTTTATAAATGTTGGCAGCACTGGCTGCATAGGCCCATACCTGGGACAGAGCTGCACTGGGGTTCCCACCCTGTACCCCGCAACCACGCCCTGACACCCAACAAGGCTGGTCTCATGGTCTCAAGAGATTTTCTTTCTTACAATTTGGAGCCTGGTCATAATGGAGCTTGGACTCGGCAGGGGCGCTGCTGCCCATGCCCAGTGCTGGCTGAGATGCCATCCCACCAAGACCTTCCTCCCTGAAAATGCTAACTGAGCCTGTTTCTAATCACAAGGGGATGCTGATCAGGCAGGAAACGGGCTTCTTGGGATCCAGACTGCGATCTCCACCTCACCACATATGGGGCAGAGACCCCTGGCGGCATGTCACCCAGGTGAGGACGGTGAGAGCTTGCTAGTTCCATTCCTGTGACACTCAAGCCTACCCCCCGTCCTTCCCCAGCTCTATGCCCTGAACTGTTGGCCCAGGCACGTTCCCAGGAACTAACCCTGAGCTGTAAGTGAGGGACATGGGTCCCCCCCTCGCCTGCCATGCAGCCACACCTGAGGCCAGGGAGTGTGAGGAGGGGTGTGGAGCCAGCAGTCCAGCCCCCCCTCGGGGTACCCCTCTGCTTGCAGGGCCGGAAATGCCTGCCCACATGGGGCTTCTGCACATCTCTGTACAAGCCATGGAACTATCCAGGGCCAACGTGATGACTTCAGTTACAACAACAGGAGCAGAGTGGGAGTGGAACGTGAGACATATGGGCCCCACTTGGGCATGCAGAGGACACGGGGTCCTTCTTGCCAGCCGCCCGATGTGCACAGGGACATGGGCCGCCTGGTAGCTGGTCACTGGGCAGAGACCATCCCTGAGGGGAATCAGAAGGGGAATGTGGTGGTGAGGACGGGCTGTCCCTGCAGACAGAGCAGGTCACCTGTGTGCATGGGGACTGAGGATCCGTCTCTGTTGCTTCTCACCTTTTATACTCAATTACCCATTTCTTTTGCATAAAATGTTTTCTGATAAAAAGGGGGAAGGGAGGGCATCTCTTAAACTATTTCCCTATCTTAGTCTCGACTGCTTTAAGATTTAAATATCAAGTCCCAGCAGACCAAGTGGCAAGCAGAGCTGGTGCTCCCTGGGTTCCTCCAGGCCCACCCCTCATCCCTCGGCCTCTCTTCTGGCCTAAGGGCTAGAGGCTGCTCGGCTTCCCTTGAGCACATCCTCCCTTGAGCACATCCTCCCTTGAGCACATCTCATGTCTCACGAGTCCTCTCCTTTCCTCAGTCAAAACAGTGAATGAGAACAGTGTCACCTGGAGCACTGCTGGGGGGACAGGCCACCGCTGGGCCATGCCAGTGTGCGTGGAAAGAGGATACTGGGAGGGGCTCAAGCATGGCAGCCAGGGTGGGCCTGAAGGAAGCGGGGGCGGGAGGGCAGCCCTGCAGTGTGTTGGGGGCACTGGGGGCTCAATGAAGCCTGAGAGGAGGCAGGAGGTCCCTGGACAGAGGAGGCCACCGCTGGCAAGGCAGAAGCAGGTCCTGTCCTGGGAGCGGGAGAGGCCAGGCCCTGGAGGCCGAGTCCCTGAGGACTGGGTGGGGGACACAGAGCAGGGTCCAGGATGACCCCAGGGCCTGAGCCCCAGCCTGGTGGTAACAAGTGGCTGCAGTGTCTCTGAGCAGGGCTTCTCATACTCACTAGTCCCTGTTTCCCCAGCTCTGGGTGATGAAGCCCGACAGGACCTGTGTGAAGCAGTGTCTGGACTCAGCTTTCTTGGCTGTGGGGGTGGGGAAGGGATCCCAGGAGCCACCCTGTGGGGCCCTGTGAGGGCAGAGGGCCCCCAGCACCTGTTTTATCAAAGCGCTTCTTCCCCTCCACTATCTGCACATCCCTCTCACTGAAGACAGCCACCCCTCAAGCAGTGTTGGGCACTGGGCTTTGGACCCCACATGCCTCCACATGGCACACATGCTTCTGCTCAGGCACATCTTCCCATGGGCGATGGCAGCTGCTGAGCAGGCTGTCACTTGGCGGAGCCAAGGGTGGACTCACACACCCCCAGGCCCCTGGAGACTACCTGCACCT